TGTGTGTGTGTGCGTGTGTGTGCGTGTGTTTGTATCTGTGGGTGTGTGTGCGTGTGTGTTTGTGGGTGTGGGTGTGGGTGAGTATCTGTGTCTGTATGTGTGTCTGTGATTGTATGCGTCTGTATCTATATATATATATATATATATATATGCGTGTGTTGTTTTTCTATATGCAGGTCTTTAATAATTGTGAACGGTCGTAGCGTGGATGAAGAAAGTTCATCTACAGCATAGCTATCTGGGTTTATTAAAATGGCCCTTCGCAAGTGCTTCTGTCTATCTGACACATTGACAGACGCTTCACATGTGGCGTCCAAGTTTATGTATGCATGCCATCAAATGCACTCGAAAGGTTAGGTCAATTATTTACATATATAAGCACTCCGAATGTTAGGTCAGTTGTTTATATATATGTTATGTTGTGTTACCATTTACGGCCTCTTAACTAAATGTCTTTTCTGGTCTCTTCGATCTCCTGCGTCTGGTCTAATCGCCCTTCCTGAAGGAGTTTGTAAAATGCCAGGACATTCGGACGCTTGTACAGAGATTTGGACACCAGCCGTCGCCTGTTAACGCACAAAGAGGACAAAATATAAACAAAGAGGTCAAAATATGAACAAAGAGGTCAAAAAAATGAACAAAGAGGTCAAAATATGAACAAAGAGGTCAAAATATGAACAAAGAGGTCAAAATATGAACAAAAAGGTCAAAAAAGGGATGAGTTGACCTTCATCATTTAATAAACCTCATGGTACAAGAGACAGGACGTTGTCGATTGCAACGTCAATCAGGGCCAGTACGCAATAGACGCGAACGCCTCACGTCTGACATACCATGTGTTGGAAGGAGTTGCTATACAAAGTCACTTGTGGGGCCCAAATGTCCTGTACCGTTCCAGACCCATTCCTATTTGCAAGACAATAACACTCTCGCATTCGTATTCTCAAACGCAAGCAATCAAGTCACGCAACGTACAACTACCCGTACGTTCACCCCACACACACTTACGAGTTGAAGTACTTCTGCGTCCCGATCAGGCCCAGCCCCTGCGTCTCCAGCAACCAGCAGAACACTATCGTCGCACTCCTGCCAACCCCCCCCTTACAGTGCACATACACACCCTTACAAGGCCTGTCATTGCTGATCACATTGCCCTGGCCATCCACCTTGGGCGGGTGTGGGCAGTAGTCCTTAAGGTAGTTGACGCCCTGTCTGATGTCGTTGAGCTCAGGCTCCATGTGGTCGGGGGTGGGTATGTGCAGCTGATGCATGTTTCGCTTCTCGTACTCGGTGGTGGGGCCGTCGAACTCAGCCATGACATTGATGACCCCCACCACTTCGAGTTCCTTCTCCAGTAGGTCCATGTGGCCCATAAAGGTCAGCGGCACCGCACCAATGTACACTTTACTGCGGAAGAAGAGAGGGTAATTTGGGGTTTTAGGGTTATAGGGTTTAGGTTGTATTCGTATGCTTGCGTGCATTTGCACGTGCAGTGAGGCGGGGCGAGTGGAGGTGTGTTAGGATGAGACGCGCAAGGGGGTTGGGACTGTATCGGTGGGGCTGCTTGTGTCGGATAGTGCGCTTACCAGTAATATATACACATACCTTCCATGCATACATGAGAGAGTATGTGAATTTGTACTGATGATGCTGTGGTGGCCTATGCTATAGAAGCTCAGCAACGGCAATAGGAGAACAAGGAACATGTCACCACCATAACTTCTGAATAGCATGTACGCTCCGTTGCTATGCGACGTGTATGCGATCGTTGCTATGCGACGTGTAGGCGATATTCTCTTGGGGTGCGATTAGCTTTGCCCTGCTATCGAACAAACGGCGTTCAGCACAATTTGCCAAATGCAGCCAACAACACGTGCACACACGAGCACTGCAAACGTACATTTCTGACACTAGTATGGACATATGATTTACACCTAAGTGTGCTGTGCATGTTCGTGCGACGTGGGTATGAATATCCGTATGCGGGTGTGTATATGTAATCATTGCTAACGTGTATATGCCTACACGTTTGAGTGCGCGTGTGTGATTGTGCGGTGCGCGTGGAAGACTGTTTTGCAGTTCGAAGTGTGCGTTATTGACCAAAACCTGAAGCTACGTAACCACCGCTAATCTGAGTTAACTGTATTCATATACACAAAGATAAGATATGGGAGACCATGGCATTGAAACACATACAAATTGAATAGAAAATACAATTTTTCAAAAGACAGTCGAGTACTATGAGAGGGAAGAAATGCTGCGGTATGATACAACACAGGTATTCCAGTCAGGAACAGATAAAAATCTCGAGATAATAAAAATAAAATTTGGGGCCGATATAAAATGCTGGGACTAGCGATGAAATTGTACTGCATATATATATATATATATATATGAAAGAAATATAACGGAGAAATCTATAACATCGCCATATATTTAAGAAGTAAAAAATAACATCACCATATATATATTTATATAAAGAAGAAATCTCATAGAAAGATAATGTTTCAATGGTTGCATACGCTTAAGCAGATTGAGAAGATGATCACAGTTAAAGGTGCATCATGTTGGTATGCACATGCGAATAACGGTTGCGGTGTATACACACGTGCATTTCTAAATGCCAAGGATGATCTCAATACCAACCGAGGCTATCTAAGGATAGGTCAGATATAGCGTACAGGTACACTGCACCTCGTTATAACAATACACACAACATCAGTACATATACGTAACACGCTGTGTACACACAACTAGAAAAACCCCTAAACTCTAAAAGTACACACCTTCCCGGGATGACCTCATTGTACCACGGCCGAATATAGTAACTGGCGAAGATTGTGATGGGCATCAAGGGCCAGTAAAGAGCCCTACCTACAAACAATCGCAAAAAAGAATAAATCACACGATTATCTGAGCAGTTTCATCACCATATGGCGATATTGAGACTTCCCCTTCAGTATGAACAATAATGAGCAATTGAAGTTGGTATATACGTATACTATACAACTTCTTATGCACAAGGTCTATGAAAACTGAATCACAAATGGTAGTGTCTTAGAATAATATCAATATTCATTCCTGCAGACATTGAATATATATA